GTGAACCTCCTCGTGAAGGTGCCTTCATATCTCTGTCTTCGCCCCAGATCCAGAAATATTGGATTGTGGGCGGAAGACCCTTCGTATTGGGTGGATATTTGGGCATTTAACGGTATAGATTTTAAGAGGGCAATGTCGATAACGTCGGGGCGTCCTACAGGTCCGTAATGTGTCGGTTCTGTCGGTCCGAGTATCGTCAAGTCGTCGTGTCTATCTTGGTAATTCAGCAGGACGCGACCTCTTGTGGTCGTCGTCCCACTGTGCCATATGGGACTCTACTGATTGAACACGTAAAAATTTGCTTTAGCCAATTTCAACAATACATTACCCTTAATGAATAAAAATCCTCAATCAATAAAACCTTAAGTATGCATAGGGTGTAAAGATATACATTTTTACTTATAAACAAATTTTGTCTCCTTTTTAATTTTTTGCTAGATTCATCGCTTCAAGCCAGTTTGTTCCTCTTTTCTTTAAGTCTTCTGCCACTACTTGGTCCTTGATCCCATGTTTTTTATGGGTCTGCCTCGTTTCCTTACCTTTTTTTTTTTGTTTGCCATATCATTTTCAGCTGTCTTTCTATGCAAATTCATAACCTATCTTCGGAAATGACAATGACGTTAACCGACAAACCGACCAATAGGAAAATAAATCATAGCGCGTGCGTGTAATACACAAAGTGCAACACCCCCACTTTTTGGCTTCAGTTCCCTTTCAAAATGCTTTATATATGTATAGAAGTATGTGGTTAGTGTATGTGAGTTCTGTGGTTGTGTTTGGGGTGGGTAGGAGGGGCTGTCTGTGTGTTTGTGTAGTGTTTTGTGTCGTGTGTGTGTTTGTGTTTTGTGTTTTTGTGTTTTTAGCTTTGGGGTACTGAGAGCTGGCGGGGTGTGGCCCAGCGCAATTTGCACACCTGGCAGGCGTGCCTTTGGCCTTTTGCAGACGTGCGTGCTGTGGTTTTCGCCACAGGTTTTCGCCACATTTTACGCACTTTGGCTCAGCTGTGCACCGGGTCTGGCCGTGGCCGAACCGCTGGCACCGGTGGCACTGTGTGGCAACCCGCTGCTTTCGCTGCAGCTCTACTCGAACCACGAGCGAGCAGCAGCGGGTTACCTTCAGGATGTCCTCCTGGTCCTGTGGGGCCTGAACTAGGACCAGGGGCATTTCCTGTTTATTTTGACGGCTCGCCATGCGGTGCACTATTGCGCCGGGGAACCCTTGTCTTGCGAGGTCGAGTTGGACCTCACTTGGCGAAACACCCGCAGGTATTCCGCGTATCACCACCCTCAGCGTTTTTTCTTCGCTGAGGGTGAAGGTGTGGTACTCCTCGCCTTTGTCTGTCAGTGTCTTTGTCAATAGTCTGTGGTCATTAGGTGTGTTTGGGTATATGGCTATACCGTCTTTAGTCAATTTGGCTTTTGT